TTTTTATTTATTTATTTATTTAGTCATTTAGCAGACGCTTTTATCCAAAGCGACTTACAAATGAGATATCTCTGATGCACCCATCTGTGTCATATACAGGGAAAAAGAAAATTCAGACCACATGATGGTGCAGCTCTCTAAAACAAGCAGTACTTATTACAGGTTTGTGCAGATTCATGGCTTGAGCTGAGCTCAAAAGCTTGGAGAGGTCAATTACATCCATGCGCAGTTCGAAATGACTGGTCACATCGGCCGTGAGGGTCACTACAATAACAGCTTGCAATTCCTGTTTGTAAATGGGAGGCTTCTTCTGAAGACGCATTCATAAATCACTCAACTGCCTTTTGAAGAGAGTAAGCAGTGCTGCCAGACAAAACAACAGCCCGACCGCATATTCGTTAACATCGAGCCCCAAACAATGGGGCGGATGTGATCTCCATGGCGTCTACGTGTTGAATATCAAATGCCATTACTCAGAGTATGACATATGCCTCGAACCAGCCAAGTCTTTGATAGAGTTCAAAGACTGGGATAATGTGCTCATCTGCATTGAAGAAGGGGTCAAAGCATTCCATTCCATGAATGGCAGCGATGGTCCATCAAGTAGTCCAGTGAGGAATGCTAAGACTCCTGTGGCAGTACAAAACCTCAGTGCTGAGGAAATACGTGAAGTGTGTGATGCACTGTCTGAGAAGAAGGACATTGCAAGTGGTGTGGACCTCTCTGGTGGTGTTCAAATATTGGAGGAGGTGTCAAAAAACACTGAAACCTTCTCCAGTGAAGAGTCCGAAGCAGAAAAAGCGCCATTTTTGCAGATGCTACAGAAATGAATAACAATTGCCAAGAAGATGAAAATGCAGTTTGCTCAATTATAAGCCAGAATGATTTGCCAGTTAACAACAACAACAATGTGATGGGAAGCAAAAACCAAAGGATTTCAATTATGGATGTAAAAGAGGCAGAAGATAGTTTGAAAAAATTCTGCTTCCCAAATAAAATTTCTCCAAAAAAGAGGAAGTTGCCATTAAATGACACTGAAGAAGACAAACATGGTTTTTATGGTACCAACTCAAAGACTTCCAGAGCTGCACCATGTCGTAAATGAACTCTGTCTTTTGAAATGGGATCTCTTGACAAGTTCAAAAGGTTGTTTGGGAAGGATGCTGAGAAAAAACAACAGAGTACGGTAAAAACATGCCTTTTAAATCCAGTGTCTTCTAGCAAATCCAATCACTGCTTTGTCGGATCTACTTTGTGTTTAGATTATTTAGACAAGCCCTTATTGAGGAACATTTCAGGTGTTCATTCTCCTTATAGTTCTGAATGTTCTGCTGAATATTCATCATGGTACAGGCGAGACAAACTATCATTGGCTGCCAAATGTTCCTATTTAAAACATGACAAAGAGCCATTCAAAGAGGTCAGCAGAGATACAGACTCTCTTCCTATGGAAAATTCATCTTTCCCAGTTGTGCAAGACGCACACTTTAATGAAAAATCCTGTGAAGTAGAAAAAAGCCTCCTAGAAGATGTGTTATTTGGATCCACTGGAACTGTTGATTCAGTTGTCCATGATTTTTCTAAAGATTTTCCAGGCTTTGCTGTAAATGATCAGGACACAACAATACCAGAAACTTCCTCCGTTTTAGAAGAGTCACACCTCTGCAACAAGAATGTGACTTCCTTTGTAGGAAGTGTAAGCTGTGTTGATGAAGCCAGCGTAACCTCTCAGCATGATCCTCAGTGCAGCAACACAGGAAATGAAGGTCAGGCTACGAATAAAAGTGTTGAAACAATCCCCGTGTCCAGTAGCTGGCTGGCTCGTTATGACAGTTTGTTAGGAAAACTGGTTTACATCAACCAAGTTACAGGGCTCAGCAAATACAACTCTCCTCCTTTGGAGGAGCCTCAAGTGCCATGTACCACAGATGTGACTAACATGGCAGTCAGTGTTATATCAAGAACAGGTGGGAGAAATTCAGCGAGCTGATTTTGGATCACTAATGTACAGATATTTATATTATAATTAGCGTTTCTTTGCTCATAGGATATGAGTACAGGTGTTATCCATTTCATACAGACATTGTATTTCCCTTTCTGCCCAAGCCCAGAGCAGAAAGAGCCCTTAACTCAGGGATAGACAGCAGAGGTACAGCTCTAGACTGACATCAGGACTGAAATCAGCTTTTTAGTGCACATTAACTAATTGTTTTCTTCTTACTCTTTTAAGAGGATGCCCAAGGTCCCAATTCACTCTCGACTTTATTCTCAGAATGGAGTAACCCAGTGTTCATACGGCCTCCAGAGGTAAAAAGACTACAAATGTATTAAATGACATCATTTAAGGGTTTTAATTAATTTATCCGTATTTAACGCTGATTTTAATTAAATTATTTTTGTTAAAAATAATTAATTTGACTCACATATTCTATTAATTATTCTGAAAAGGTTGCTGTGGATGTAACCAGCGGTCAAGCTGAGGGTCTTGCTGTAAAAATCCACAATATTCTTTACCCCTACCGGTTTACCAAGAATATGATCCACACAATGAGAGTAAGTATTTTTACCCTTCTGCTTTTTTTGTGCTTTGAGGAACAGGGATGGCTAGACACCTAAGATAGCAATGTCAAAAGCATAACCTTTTTCTTATGTGGTGAAAACTAATCTAAGATTGTGTTGTTGTATTTTTACCTCAGGTCATCAATCAAGTGGACAAGAAGTTCCTTGCTTGTTTGATAAACACAACAGAGCAGGAATCCTCTGAAAGCAGTATGAATGAAGGTGCCACAGGCTGAAAATCATTACGTTGAAACATTTGTCATTGCTTCCACCTGCAGGAAATCTTCTAGTGTTGGTTGATCAACATGCTGCCCATGAAAGAGTTCTACTGGAGGGGTTGGTAACAGGTAACATAATGTTACAAAAGATTCTATTTCAAATCATTCTTTTAATCAAAAAATACTGAAAAAATGTATTACTGTTTCCACAAAAATATGAAGTAGCACAACTGTTTTCAACTTTGATAATAATAAAAAATGTTTCTTGAGCACCAAATCAGCATATTAGAATGATTTCTGAAGGATCATGTGACACTGAAGACTGGAGTAATGATGCTGAAAATTCAGCTTTGCCATCACAGGAATAAATTACATAACATATATTAAAAAATAGAAAACATTGTAATAATATTTCACAATATTATTGTTTTTTTTTATCAAATAAATGCAGCCTTAGTAAGCATAAGAGACTTCTTTCAAAAACGTTGAAAAGTCTTACTCACCCCAAACTTATAAGAATATGAGAACAAAATAAATTCCATGTAAAAAGCATTAAAAATGCTAATACACTTCATGACATAAGCATTCAATGTATTTTTCCCACACTGCTCTTGTTGTTTGATGTAGACTCCTATGAGGATGACCCAGACACACCAGGAAAAAAGAGGCTGTGTTCTTCAAGTGTTACCCCACCCTTAGAGATTAATGTAACTGAAGAGGAATTGAGACTTCTGAGGTCAGTGCAGCTGTTTGAGTCAACATTCCTGATTCTTCCGTCATCTTCTCTCTAAAAACATACATGTGTGTTCAATTAGTTCTGCACCTTTGCTGAACGGTGCCATAAATCTCTCTTTTGTTCTTGAAGGTCTTGTCAGGCCTTCCTGAGGGGTCTTGCTTTAGATGTAAGGCTCCCAAAGAGTGAGTCACTGAATGTGTTGTTGGAGAGACTTCCCACATGTTTCATAGAGAAAGAAAGCACAGAGCTCCGCCGTGGAAGACGGTCGGTAATTAAAACCATTGCAGAGGTCAGACTCAGTTCTTATGTTTTTTTTTTTATTATTGATTTAAACTCAATTTAGACTCTTAACTGTATGTTTTATTTTGAAGGACTATTTGCGAGAACACATTGAGGTGAGCCGGCATATCCATATGTGATTTGTATCTAATCTGTATGAACAGAATACTACAAATGGTCTGGTTTTGGAGCTTGAAGGATACATGACCGATTTTGTTTTTTTTGACTCATGTTTGCAGCTTCTCCGCTCAACAGGAAGAGTGAGAGGAACACTGCCTCTGACAGTTCATAATGTGCTCGCCTCACAAGCTTGTCATGGTTAGTGTTATAAATTCACCACTGAGTTCAGTTGAAGCATATTCTGTTTATAAACTGTTACAGGGAACACAGGAAATGTCTCATTTAAACCATATGTAGTGAACTGCTATAATTAGCATTTTCTAAATATTCTTATTTTATTAATAAATATTCTAACTTTATTGATTGATAATAATAATTATTATTAATTTTAACAGGAGCAATTAAGTTCAATGACATTTTGAGAAAAGAGGAGTGCTGTAGTCTGGTGAGCTCGCTCTCCTCTTGTCAGCTTCCCTTCCAGTGTGCTCATGGAAGACCTTCAATCGTCCCTCTGGCTGACCTTCACCACTTGGAAGATCCACAGGTATGTTTCAACTAATCTGCAACAAATCTGATTTTATAAGTGCACTTTTTGTCGATTATAAACAGGTTTGAATATCATAAATACTGATAAGCATATCATGATCAGACATAGCACATCATATATCTTGATTTTTTTTTCCCATATATTTTTTAATGCTTTTCTTTGATAAGTTTCATTTTTTTATATCCTCACACAGGATCTTCCCAAACCAAATCTGAGGAAACAGTTTGTACAGAAATGTACAAATCTTGGCAGCTCTATGGAAAAAGGTCAATCTGTTGCACAAAACATGAATTTACATGCAAAAGCATCCTGCGCTTTTGTATTCAATTATTTACTTTTAATAGAGATATTCTGCTTCTGTTTTATTGATGGGCGGCTTTTATTATGTTTCACCTTTTGGCACGTACAGCTGCTGGCAACAACACTGCTCAGAGATAGAGTAGCCAATAATAAAGGACTATACTCGATCATGGAGCATTTTCCTCCAATCAAATTGTTCCTTGCAAGTTTGTGGTCCAATCGACGTAAACGTAGGAGGGCGCTAAAATGGATGACGTTCCTCCCCAGCTCATTGTTGTGCGTTGCGATGATCGCTGGAAGGGGATGCAGGAAGGTCTCACGTTAACGTTAACGAAGTATTACTTCATAGGTGAGTTTTGCACGCAGAAATGACACATTATAACGCACGAAAACAGTCTTAGACTAAATGAATGATCTATATTGATTAATTATATCAGTTTAAACCAAGAGTATCCTATCCTCCCAATTCAAAGATGGCCGAACAGCAGTAAGTTACTGACGTATGAATTTGTCGCTTTCTGCATAAGATTAAAACGTCAATCTTTTTTTATCTCTAATAATGTTTGAGGACTCGCAGCTTCTGTTATGTTAATGTTTCCATGTTTTGCTAATAAAAAGTTGAATATTTGAATGCTCGTGGAGACAGTATGGTACATGCTTTAACGGAATATGAACGAATCCATGTGCTGCTGGTATACAGTAAAATCTTAACGTGACATTATCATGTTACTTTAAATTATCTTGAACCAGTTCGTGTTTATCTTTAGTAGATTTGCATAATTAAGTTGTATGCTGCATTTTGGATCTTTTTGGCCACTTCATGTTTATATACAGTCATGACAATGAAGTGCACCATTCATTCATGACGTGGTCTGTAAGTATCTACGGGATTGTATCAGTTCATGAAAAATCCGAAAATATTAGGGAGATTTTGAAATTGTGATACAGATGTGCTAAAAGTTCATTTAAGAAGGTAGAATAAAAATGTACATTAATGTGGTTATGCTCTATGCATCCTCTGTTAAGCTGGATACATTTTTATAAAAATATAGTAATGATGAACTGTAATATCATGGTGCCTGTATTTGAATGGTTATGTTGGCTTTCTCACAGAATCAGTGATGAACAGGATTCGGATCCACGTGCTGCCGTCCAGCAGAGGTCGAGTGACTCAAGCTGCTCGTGCTCAAGAACCTCGGATCTGCTCTTACACCCAGAGACCCTGTTCACAGCCTCGCCTGGAGGGCCTAGAGTTCTGCATCAAACACGTACTTGAAGATAAAAATGCTCCCTACAGGCAATGCAGCTATGTGTCCAACAAGAATGGCAAGCGCTGTCCCAATGCAGCCCCTAAACCAGAGAAAAAAGAGGGGTGAGGGTGTTTGTTTATTCCCTTAAGACACTTAACAAAGTACCTACTAGAGCTATTTGACCAATAATGTTTTTTTTTTCTTTTTCTTAGGGTATCGTTCTGTGCAGAACATGCACGCAGAAATGCTTTGGTGCAACAAGCTCAAATGCGGAAGGCATCCGCTTCAGGACCTTCCCCTGAAGTGCTGCTGTCTCAGCTCAGTGGCTACAGTCGGCCAGAAACTGGAACTCACAGTCAAGAGGGCCGTAGTGAAGCTAGCCGCATACTAGGTGAGATGTAACTTGCTTCTAATCTTGTGCCATTACTTAATAACCAGGCATGCTTTTGGCCTTGTGAACATTGATAAATCTCTGGAGGTGATGCAAACAAACCTGTGCATGTGTAAAGTGTCGTATAAGTAACAAAAGAACCAATTATGAATAATAGTAGGGCTGCACGATAAATCGCATGCGATATTTAATGTGCATCGATGCGCGTTAAACATCACATGCGATTTATCGTGCAGCCCTAAATAATAGGTTAAAATTATTTATACCCTAGAAATTATTCAAAGTGGAAACAGAATGCAGCTTTTTTTAAAATTATTATATAGTTTTTTTACTACTTGACAGAACTTTTAATAGATCTGAACATAACATAATAAAAAAATTGTGTAAGAGACGCAGTGTTGATTTTTATGGTCATCTATTCTGTATTTATTTCCTTGTATAGATGAAGAGAGTTGGAGTGAAGAGGAGCAGGATCCTATTGTTTTGGATCAGACATGGAGAGGAGACCCTGACAGTGAAGATGAAAGTCTTGACAGTGACCACGAAGACCCTTTAAAGTGAGATATTCCTCAATTTATTTTACTTATCTGCTTTGTCAAAATTAGTTTTAATAATGTCACCTGAGATGTCAATTAATGAAATGTGACTTTCTACAGGCATGCGGGTGTGTACACAGCAGAGGAAGTGGCACTCATCACGCGTGAAAAGCTGATCAGACTTCAGTCCCTCTACATAGACCAGTTTAAACGTCTGCAACACTTATTAAAAGAAAAGAAACGACGCTACCTGCACAGCCGCAAGATTGAACATGAGACAATTGGTAAGGCAGCTGCTTTTATCCTTTGATTGCGTGATATCACATATACAGTCAACATGTATACTCACTTGTGTGTGTGATTCAGGGAGCAGCCTGTTAACGGGTCCAGAGGGGCTGTCCATGAAGGAACGAGAGAACCTGAAAAAATTAAAGGCTCTGCGACGTTACCGCCGTCGCTATGGTGTGGAGGCCTTGCTGCATCGCCAGCTCAGACAGCGAAGACAAGCAATTACTGAGGGAGGAACGCCACAGGTATGGATGGACTTTCTAATAATGTCTTAAGAAAGACAATAGAAGGTTTAAACGCTGCACACTGCCAAATGAGACGGACCTGAATGAAATTTTATTGGCTTTCCCATACTGTCAGATGGGCATCAGAGGAGACAATCTGAGCCTACTGTCATGCTCCGTTATTTTTAGTAATATTATTTGTACATATTTTAATTCTTTTGTGTCTTTTTCTGCACAGGCAATGCGTTTAGGCCAGAGATGCATTTCCTTTGTGGAAGGGACTCGCTGTTCAAATCTGTGTCTGCCAATGACACGACATTGTGTCTCTCGTATCCTTGTTTGTTTCCATACATGCATACATATTTGTGTGTGTGTATATATACATGTGTATATATATATATGTGTATGTATATGTATATATATATGTGTATGTATATGTATATATCATCAGTGTTGAAAACGGTTGTGCTGTGTTCTTACGTGATACATTACACTTACGTATTTGCAGGATTGTTTAATGAATAGAAACTGAATTGAACAGCATTTAATTGAAATAGAAATATTTTGTAACATTGTATATGTCTTTACTGCCATCTTTGATCAGTTTAATGCATCTTTGCTGAATAAAAGTTTTTTTTTTATTTTTTTTTATCGACCAACCCCAAATTTTTTCATGGAAATATGCATATTTATTTAGTAATATGTTAAATATACATATAATATATATTTCTTTGTTTATATGGGCGTACATCTATATAGACATAGATGTATATATGCTTTTGTAGCCCTGAATCAAGGCCCATAGCTTGCTGTAGCTGTTGGTTTCAAACAGCGGCTGATATAAAAGTGTTCTTATGGTCTGTTGACTTTCCCAGGGTTATCTAATGGATAAAGTCGATTCCGTTTGAAGGAACAGTTCAGGTTTTTCATCTCCTCCAGCCTTCGATATCTTTGACATTTCAGAGTTATTTCCCAGCTATGCCAATGCTAGTTCTCTTAATCTCCTTAACCCTTCACAATAGACATTTATCAAGACAGTAGCCAAGTTTTATTCAAAATGTGCCCTGGTCTGAAGGACGTTCCATGTGATCGTCCTGTGCACATGGGACAGTCAGAAGAGCCCCGCTGTCCTCTGCACCTGTCCCTGCCTCCTCCCATGTACCAGCCTGAGCAGGAGTCTATTGCCCCGGAGCAGCTGCCGTCTGCGCCCACAGACATGTACCTCAGTGCCGCAGAGCTCCAGCCAACAGAAAATCTACCTCTGGAATTCAGTGATGTATGAATTGTGTTGGTTTTTCTCATTAAAACTAAAGTTGCTGTGTGCAGTTGCTTTCCTCATGTGTTTTGGCACATTCCTTCACACTAAGTTTCATATTATCAGAGCAGTTAACTCAGCAATCTGCACTAAATTTATTTTACACCTTGCTCTCTCTTCAGATTGCTAAGGTATCCATCAAGTATCTACATGCCTGCAAACAGTGTTGCTTAAACATGTCCCCTGCTGTGTAAATCAAATCTCATAGCCTCGCATGAATGAGAAACAAATTAATCTGGATGTTCAGCAGTCATCTTCCTTTAGTTTGTGTCTGTCATTTTCTGTGTGCCCACAGTAAAACCTCTCATTTAATCTCATTTTTGGAAACATCTCATTTTCCTGTTATGCTACAAACTATTTATGTGCTTTTCCATTACTTGTTCCCATTGTTTGCTTTCAAGCACACAAACAATATTGCAAATTTACCCATATTGCTGGATTTTGTTTGCTGGTTATTTGGCTGTTGACAATGTTGAGATGTTTATTAGTATATTTTTGAATATAAACAGGTTTGCAACTGAAAAACTGAAAAAGTACTAAACCTGAATTTATATTGTGGATGTCTGATAAATATTTAGATGTACTGTAAATGAATTGACTTAAGTTTGAAGAAATGTGCCATTAATTAAGATTCGTAAAAGAAAAGCTTAAATGAAAAAACATGCAAGTATCTCAAAATAATCCAATGGCCATTCGTACTATATTTTGCAGTGTTTTGGATATAAATTTTATATATTTTTTGGTACATCAGTGCCAATGTTTTGATTCCATTCCAGTTATCAGCCAATATTAGAGGTCAGTTGATATTAGACATTTTGTCCAATTTTTATATTTAATTTACATTTGCTGTAATTGTTAATCTTTTAAAAACAATATTTTAATAACTGTCAGTTGTAACCTTTAGCAATTCACAAAATATCTATTTTTCATTCTGTACATTATAATGGTGTGAAGCCTAATTTCACTTGTGACATTTAAAACGATTTATTATTTTTAATGATTTGTTGATTTATTTATTTTTTTTTCAAAAATAGCATAGAACTTTAATATCAGCAATTTATCAGTTATAGGCCATAACATAAAGAATTATTGTCCAGATTTTAAATATTTGCACATCCCTTATCACTGTTGATGTGCAGGATCTTGACGTTGAAGATGAGGGTTTGCAGTGTCCCCCGTCCCCCTTGCTGTTCGACACAGCGCTTGCATTAGAAGACCAGACCATCAGAGAGATCGCCGAGGCCCCCATGGACATTCTGACAGGGGCGGAGCAGGGCGATCTGGATGGCTCTTCCCAAGATGCTGAGTTCTCAGAAAGAGACGAGGTGTCTGTGGAAGGTCAGGTAATTATTTTTTACGCTGTCACTTGTTGGAATAATTAAACAATGCAACGGAGGCAGTATGTCTGTTCCTTGCAATGGCAAGTGAACATTTAAACCCCAGAACTGCTGTCTTATTTTACAGGTTGAATCTGAAATACTTGAAGCAGTTGGACAAGCAGTTCCCATGCAGAATTCATCAAAGGACTCTGACACGAAAACAACAGATGCCTTATCCTGAGCACCTCGTGACCTGATTTTCTCAGCTGTCGTACTGTTGATATTTCAAACAGTCCAGATATCTATTTAAAAGCCATATTTCTGGAAGTTTGCTTTGATTGCTGAAACATTTTTAACCTAGCACATTCTCATTTCTTAAAATAGTACCATAGCACATGTTCTGATATACTGTTAGTCACGTATGGTCACCCTAGCTTTGATTGCTGAAACATTTTTAACCTAAAACATTCTCATTTCTTAAAATAGTACCATAGCACATGTTCTGATATACTGTTAGTGTCTTGTGAAACTATAAGGACAGTTATATGCACAGCTGGAGGTTTGTGTTTTGTAAGGTAAAGATGAGGTACGTATTTCACTACAAAAAGTCTCAAAGCACCATTTCTACTTTTATCCAGTACATTTCTGGTTCCATATTACATTTATAACTCATAACTGTGATTTGTTCACTAAAATAAACCTTTACATCTCATCTTGTTCTTGTTAATTATAAATTTGCACTCATGAAAGGAGGGAGCTCCTGTGGGATAGTCAGGGTTCCCACGGTCTTGGAAAACCTAGAAACATCAGGGAGTTTTTATCTTCAGAGTAATGGAAATATTTATAGTGGATATACATGGTTCTAGTAATGATCTGCTCTGTGTGTGGGGTTGAACTTGATTGCAAACACGGTTTGATTTGTGAGCAAACTGTCCTTTCGAGTTGGCACTTTTTGTTTAAAAAAAGGCAAAGGGGTTCACAGAAAAGATCTGAGTAATACATTAGTGAACTGGTCTCAAACTGATATTTTTCGGATTCTGTATCCAGTAAACAAATGACTGGAAAGGTCATGGAAACTGGTCAAAAAGCGAGAACCCTGGACAATGAAATAGGGTCTTGATGTTGAACATTTACTAGTTGCTTTCCAAGCTGGGAAATTAAGCAGGTAGTTGTGTTTTAGGAGTATGGTAGCTGTTAAACACAAAACGGTTTTAAATTAATATTTATGTTATAATTATATAAAAAGTAGTTTTATACACTTAAAGGCGTAAAATTAAAACGGATAATAAAGATTGGCCACAGAGCATTAAACTGCATGTCAGCCCTGACGGACAAAAATAAAGCTGAATCGCTGCTTAGTCACAAATCATGATTAATGAAATCACTGCAGATGCAAAGCGCAGACAAAAACGCGATGACAGCGTAGCTTAATAAAATAAACTGCGTTAGCAAATAAAATCTATTAAATAAGATAAATGAAAACACGCTTTTGAAAACGCTACGTGGAGCACAAGGCAGGCCCTTTTACTAAAAGTAGGGCGGGCAACACAATTTCAAGCCATGACATCACTTTTCCTGCAAGTGCTTTAACCTAAACACGGGAAGAGAGACGGATGGGAAGAGACGACGATAAAACCTCTAATCAGCGGCTGGGAAAACAGATAAACATGTCCACAAGCTGTGAATTTAAAAGTACAGTTCAAGGTATTTCTTAGCGATATTCATCGGCGATATTTTCACACCTTCCCAAGCAACAAGGATCGCGCGAGGTAAAGAGCCCTTTTTCCCTCAGCCATCGCACGCACAGTTTGACGTTTACGTGTCGAAAGTATGCTGATTTTGCAAAATGCAGTGTATTATGGACGTAGAGGGGTTTGTTGTGGTATTAAATGTTGATGTGCGCGGTGTAAGATTGGAAAGGGAAATGTGGGGCATTAGCCATCCGGCTCTCTGGGACACCGGTGGGGTTGTAGACTGAGGATGCTTGTCGTGATATCCTGCTTTGCTCAGAAATGCAGTGCGCTTGGCTCTTTAATTTCTAATTCTGCCACAATCGACTTCCTTTGAGTTTGCTTCATATATAAACAAATATTTCATTCATATATTTTTTATGGCAGCGCACAAATATCACAATAATCCGATTTTATCTTAAGCCTTTGCATCAGTTTTCCCCGGATCACTGTTTTTTTATGTAGTTAAAGCTATAACGGTAGCCCTTCCTCTTTTTACAGCATAGCGAACGTGCAGCCTGTTTATAGTTACACACTTTGGGAACCCGCAACTTGTTTGTTTACTTGTGTGTGTGATGAGAACGCAGACTGCATTGTAAAATTGCTAATTTTGGCAGTTCATTCTGTTTGAGACCCTAAAACAGCAACTAATTCAAGAGTAATTGAGGGTAAAAGCATGCCCCCCAGCCCCTCCCCTTTAATATTTTACAGATGTTTTTCACATTTGCAAGTCCCATGTTCAAGACCATGTTAAGACTGGCTTACAACCTACAATTCTCCTACATTTAATATTCAAGTTTCAAAGGCAGTGCAGTAGAGATATTTGGGTAATTTTTCATTTAGGGAAACTTTGTTTCTTAGATGATTAAAAAAAAGCAAAGCATTGCTGTTTTAAAAGGTCATTTGTATTGCTCTTTAATTACTTTTTCCTAATTTGTAAGAGTGTTGAAATGTTCAGTTTGCTGAACTTGTCCTCCCCCAGCCATTTTAACTTCTCTTCTATGTATATTTTTCACACATATTTGATACATATGTATGCAATTTGTGGTTTTTAACAAAGAATCACTGTTCTTGCTGTCATTACAGCAAGTATTTTAGAGACCAATTGACCCCCCCCCCCCCCCCCCCCCCCCCAAGTGTCGTCATGGTCCTGTTAACGATATGAGATAGTAGGGAAGAGATAGGGGGTGGGTGGGGAGTGACCCCTGACAGACCTGAGAAAGCTGCCCAGATCCGAGAGAGGCCATCCGCATTGGTGTTCGAAGGCTCCAGCCCGATGACGTACCTCGAAGTGGAAGTCCTGGAGCGCGAGGAACCATCGGGTCACCCTGGCATTGGTCTCCTTGGCGCGGGCCATCCACTGAAGGGGTGCGTGGTCCGTGACCAGGGTGAACTTCCGGCCCAGGAGGTAGTACCGCAGCTCCAGGACTGCCCAAATATTATTATTATCAATGATGGAAGTGACAAGTGACAGTAGCACGTTGCTGCACAAATGAGCATTTAAAGTTCAGAAATTAATTGTCATTAAATTTCCACTTAATAATACAAGACTTTTTTTCCTGGGTGTCATTACCAAACCAGTCGGTTTTTGAGAATTTTATGTCATAAGCTGTCAATTTGTTTTAAGTTAATTGTTGTTATCAAGTCCAAGGTTTATCCTTTAATTTTGTTTCTACCAAAAAGTGAAAAATATCATTAGCATCACATCATTAAAATCACACATTGTACCAAAAACTATTTAAAAGGTGGTTGACCATGATCAGATGTTCATTATGTGCCAAAAGCTTAACATAGATCGAAGACAGTTTCATTTCTAAAGATTTCATTTAATCCAAAGTCCCTCTAATTGAAGAATCCACCCATTTATTCTTACATAGTGCTCTTGGAATTTTGATGCCCAGACAGACCTTTGCACAGCCGATTAAGTAAATAATGTCTCCAAAATAGCTGACAGCAATTGGAGGCGAGATAAACTCCAAATTGCTTGGTAAACCAAATGGCCACAGAGGACATTAGAGGCAGCAGGGGGCCATGCTCCCATGTTTGCAGATAGTCATGGTCGTGTGGTGATTTTGCGAACTACTCCCATGATCACAACATTATCTTCATGTGGCTTTTGATGTTTTTGCATGCCCGACGGACATGCATTGTCCTTAATGGGAGTCAGATGACATAGGCAAGATCACATTATTAAAGATTCATACACATTTAGTGAGGAATTCAGAATGTTTTCCTTTGTGAATTCACTCAAGTGATGAAACCGTTTCCATAGCTCCAACATTTCTAACATAGAATAGAGGGAGTGACCTAAATTAATCGCAAACACCTTTCACTTGAAACATTTCATTCATTATTTGCTTCCACAGAAATGACTGACTCTGTACTAATAAATATAGCAAATTCAGCAGAAATCCACTGACTCTGAGCAGCGTAGTTTGCATTACATATGTAATCACTGTGCCAAAGAGGTCACACAACTATTGTTCTCATATATACATATTTAAATAAGATGCTATCAGTCATAGCGCAGCATTACATTTCAACACGTTGCAGCTCCCACATGGCCTGAAGTTGTTTCCCTGTTATGTTGTAGCTTGCGAACAGTGCCGCTCATTGTTTTTCCAGGTTGTGGCTCATGATGTTATTCCATGGATTGGAGCCCAGAATGGTTGGGGGAGATTGTGCTTGGCCACCTGATCCTAGTGCGCGGCAGAGACGCCGATCAGCTGCTATCACAAAGCAGAGCCACATTAGCCGCATACAAACAAAACCACTGTGAAACATCTGATAAAGGAATGAAGTCCCACAGGGTGCTGTGGGAAAATTTAGAGGTGATATCTTGCATATTTCGCCCCCCGGTTTAATGTTTGTTGTTGAAAGGTTTATGTCTCTTGATTTGTTATTCGGTGCAGCTTTAAGGCAAGACGATCCAAGTGAATATGGTAAAGATGTTAACTAGTAGTCACCATACTTCCCTAGTTGTTTGATTACATTATTATTATTTGTATTGCATGTAATTGTCAATTAGGCATTAATTATCTAATTAAACATGCAGTAAAAATGCATATATTTCCAGAACACCGGATAAAGCCAGGTTAAAAATTTTGTTGACGTTTTGAAGTCAAAACTTTGGGGATTTGGGGTATTTTTTTTATTACTCTATAAATGTAAAAATACTGTTAACAGCCAGAAAAAAAATGTCACTATGATTTTGGGAATAAAATGTTATAAAACCAGGCAAATTATTTATTAGCAAACCCCTAAAAACATTCAGAATATAGATAGGAGTAAAACTGTAAGGTTTGGTGTGTGTAAGTGCTAATGAATTGGAGATTTTTTTGGCTCAGTGCAAGAGAACCCTGATGAAAGAAAAAAAAAATCAGCTGAAATCAGCCTATGCTGGTTTAAGCTGCATGGTCAAGCTGGTCTCCCAATCTGACCAGCTCAAGAAGTGGTCAAAACCCTTCTTAAACCAGCAATGACCAGGTTGAAAGACCAGCTAAAACCAGCCAACCAGTTTAGGATTTTTTCAGCAGGGAAAACTTCCTTTAAAAAATGTAATGTAATTGAATTCTACGTATACAAATAGATGAGGTGCAATAAAAACACTTAAAAGTGTATTTTGGATGTTTTTTCTCCCGGTTGTCTGGAACATCATGTTATAAAAAGTCAAATAGCCCAAAATCTCAAAATAGTTTTTGCCTGTAGTGTCTCGCCTTAAGGAAGCACCTCAGAAAGTAGGGAAGTGAACAGTTCCTTAAATTCAGATGTGAAACTGTAGAGTTTTTATCACAGTTTCATTCGTGCTGCGCTTGGTCATCTAAACATGGCTCTTTGGACAATTAGGGCTGAGGCATGAAATTGGACCTTTGGCAGTGGCTGTTTGGCTCTGAGAGCCTCCATATAACCGGGCAGCCTGATTGGGGCCCAGTAGTCGTGCATTAGTGTGAGGAAATGAAAGCCGTCATTACAGCAG